GAAAAATAAGCCTGTAGAATGATTTCCTGTCTTTTCCTTCCTGGCTTGTTGCTCCACTTGCACAGCTACTCTTCAAAACCCAGTGGCACACGTTTCCCTCTTCTGCTGGCTTCTTTCTGCTTCCTTTGCTGTGTATTATGCTTCCATTCTTCTACCTCCTCCTCATGTGTCCTACACATTTGGCTCTTTGTCAAGCTCATCTCTGGCTCCTTCTGTCTATTCCCATGACTTCATCCACATTAAGGCCACTCAATCAAGAGGTCTCTTATTGACAAACATAAAATAAGACAAACTCCAGAAGTTTTAAGAATCCAGACAGAATTTCAAATACCTGAACAAACATACTCTCAAGCAAGTAATTTATTTATATGCTAAAGCATCCTACCCTTGGAAAATTATGAAAACGTGCAAAGGCCCTGTTGTAATAGCTCCCATATTTCACCCCATAATTTTAAATCTTTGACTATTTTATCTCGCAAAACACCCTGTTTGCATCAGTTTGCTTTTGAATGTCTCACCATAAAAAAAATCTCTTAAATTTAAAACAAACTCATGCTTACCATTATGTCATTCTCGATTTTCACTTCAAATTTTAATTTCTCATTCTTGTTCTAGTTTTCCTCTAAGACAACTAGCATTGTCTGATCTCCTAAAATCTCATTTCAATTTTTCTTTTTCTATGCACATTTATGTTTTTTTCCACTAATTTCAGGTTTTGTCTCCAATTAGATCTTTGCACTTTCCTTACTACTCCTATGTTTTACTTTCATATTCTTGACAGCTTTCTTCTCTGTCCTGACCATTCCAGTAATTTTTCTGCTACTGTTACCCCAGTCCATCATGTATACTATGCTGCTCAGTCAGTTTCTCCTTTAATTTCCTCACCAGCCACCAGCATAACAATATCCCAAAGAGGATGCTAGTGCTTTCTAAATAACTAGCTTTCTTTTCCTCTAACCTCCTCAATAACTGCCCCTCTTCACATCCTCTTTCAGACTCTTAGTCGAAAACTTTTAGACACTTTTATTTTCTTGATATTCTAGTCTCTAGTCCATACTGTGCATTATGAAACTGGCCATGTGTAATCCCTCCATTGCAAAGTGCTCTTTCTCATTGGTAACTCCCATGCCAGCAACCTGATCTGCTTTTCTTTACAATGCCAGCTAGACAACATATTTCCAGGCATAGTGTAACAAACTGCTCCTCTTTCATCTTCTTTCTCCAAATCAAAAAATATCTTCTGTTCTAGGAACTCCATCCTGCACTTTCCATAAAGTCTCCCTAGCACAAACTGATACTATTCTCCCAAATGTGGTAAAACATAATCCATTTCAGAATTCTTTCTGATCTTTTTTCCCCATTGCAAAAGACAGACAGGTTTTACTACTTGCTTCAACAGAAGGGCTGTATTTGGATTATGAGATTCTATTTCTTTAGCATAGAGCTGGAGTGTAACTAAGATAAAGCTGAAGATTATGGCTTGATTTATCCTTTTTTTCAGATAGGATATTAAACCACATTCTTACTATATTCTTCTGTGTTAAATAGTCATTGAATGTTTCAGTGAACCCAAGAAGGCTGGGAGGTGGTGTGCACTACATCCTTTCTGTAGTCTGAGCCTGCGTTACCACCAACAAACTGAAAATAAAATTCTGAATTTGTGTAAGTGGCAATTCGGTGACATGCTGTGACAGCAGCAGTGAAGAAGGTTGTGTGGCATCACAAGAGCAGAGATAGATTAGCAAGGAGGAGAAGGAAAGGAACAGATTTGCAAAATAATTCACAAACTTTTAATTGTTCAGCTGCCTTTGCACATGCTCAATACGCCAAAATCAAGCCTTAAGTTTAACTTCCTCAAAAGTACAGTGGGAGTTCTCAGACCTGAAAGTAAAATACAGGAATCTTTGCTAACATGCTGTGTCATAAAAGCTGTACAAGTGGCCTCTACAGATGCCTCTGTATGGATGAAGAAACAGTTACCAGACAACAGCAGGATGAAGGAAAAATACATGCCAGAAACAACATCTGAAAGCCTCCCAACAATTCATAGTGATTTTGGATCAAAAACTGGTAAGCTCAGGAGACTGAGGAGCTGCTGAACCTGCCCAAGGCCTCCAGCACCCTCTGGCAGCCATGGCAGATGATGTAACCCACAACACATCCAAGCAGGCAGTGGCTGCTATAGGTGCGCAAAGGCTACAGGGCAGTATATGTAAAGCACACCTGCTGAAATGAAAGACCCCATATGTGACCGTGTACAGCTGCCTAGAAGCCCCTGGAGTGTGGGTATGAGCCCCTGTTCCCAAGTGAACTGCTGGGATAGGCCCTTCTGCTGCTGCTCCAGCCGGGCGACCACACATGTGTGCACTGCGTGAGGCAGTAACGGCATATACAGTGCAAACAGATATCTGCAATGAATAACAGCCCAATTAATAAGCAGTGTTCTAATGACCATAGTTGTGATCTGTTTTTTCCCCTGATCCCTGTGATCAGTTTATCCCCTGTCAGTGATATTTACAACACCCAGTACAAAAAAGCCACAAAAATACATAGGTGTTACCTGGATCTTGTAAACATGTATTTTAATCCAGTTACCTGAAGTGCTAAGGCTTGGACAACCAACCCAAGCCAGTTGACCTGTAGATGAATCCTGTATATTTTATAACTGAAAACCACTGTGCTAGTAGGTATTGTACTAAGTTATAACAACACACTTATGCTGATGTAAAAAGTGCTAAAGCATTGAAATACTGAAGCCCGAACAACAGGCTCCAAGTTGAAGCTGCTAACTTAGTCTCTAATCTTTAACAAAGTATGTAAACTCGCTAGTGAAAGATGCAGCTTAGACAAAATATAATCAGTAGTGAGGAGAGAATGTCTCCACCTTCCCTTGTTTAGCCTTGTTCAAGGCTGAGAACCCAAGTATCTGGCCTTGTCAGAAACTCCCTTGGTTTCCCCCCCCCAAGCCCTGGCCAGGCTTTGGGTGGAATCCAACAGGAGAATGAAACCAGAAATTTTCCACTCAAAACAAAGGTGCCGGCTATTCTGGCCTGTCCATCTCTGGTCTATAGGGCTGGGCCCGTTTGCAGTGACTTTGGCAGCCTCACCTATGCGTGGACGCACCGCGTAGGATTTCCCCCTTGCCGGGACAGGCTCTGCAAACCCTCGCTGTAACCGGGGCTGCCCAGCCACTGCGGGGCTGGGTGATGGTAATATATGCAAGTGGTGATGTATTTTTCTTAATCTCCATTCTCTCTCTCGTGTAGTAATGATATGATGCATTACCCTGTATTCTCCTGTTTGTTGCTTTAAGTGCACTATTCTGCTTTTTCTTACTGCATGTTTTCTGTATTACACTGTTACATTACTTGGTTATCACGAATAAAATACGCCTGCTCTTTTCACTCTGGTGTCTGAGTTTAATTGGTATCCTTAATCAGCAAAACACTGCCAAAGACAGCAAAGGTTAGACAACAGAGCTGCTCAGAATCCCTCCCAAAGGCATCCATTACTGCATCTCCTGGTTTTCTAGTGAGCCTTGTATCAGATACATTTTTATAGTGTTTTACCATTATCCATGTGTACTGTTTTTGGATGGGATGGAGTGAATTTTCTTCCAAGTCACTGGTTCGGTGTTTTGGATTTGTGAACAATATGATGTTGAACACAGGGATGTTTTAGCTATTGCTGAACAGTGCTTACACAGGATCAGGAATTTTTCAGTTTTTCACACTGCAGCAACTGGGTTGGGGGTGCGCAAGAAGCTGGAAAGGGACCCAGCTGGGTCAGGTGATCCTACTGATATCCCAGACCATACAATGTCATGCTCAGCAATACAAGCTGTGGGAAGAAGAAGGGTGGGACATTAGGAGTTATGGTCCTTGTCTTCCGAAGTAACGTTTATATGTGATGAAGCTCTGGTTTCCTGGAAATGGCTATCTGCTAGATGATGCAAAGTACTGAATCAATTCCTTATTTTCCTTTTCTTGAGCACACAGCTTTCGATTTACCTGTTAAACTATCTTTATCTTGACCCACAACTTCTCACTTTGCCCTTCTGCTTCTCTTTCTCCATCCTGCTGTGAGGGAGTGACCAAGCGGCTGTGCGGGACTGCGGGAATACAATGGAAGATCGGCAAGAAGGACTGCAAAGACACTCAAGTGACTTGCAGCTGGGGTGCCGATAAAAAAACATGTATCACACTAATTGTTTAGGTCTGTGTGCTTGATGGGTAGAATATTTGCGCTTAGATAAAACAGGCCTGTGAGAGACTCAGAGGCACCTTATTGAACATCTTTGAGATTCCTTCCTGGATGTGGGAAAGATCAAAGTGCAGTGGCAGTGGAAAAGTACGCCTGTGAAAACCCCGGATATATACAGCCAAAAGCAGCAGGCCCAAGATCTGTTCTTGCTCCTCCTTTTCCTGAGTAACAAGGCCCGAGCTCTGCAGTGCCTGCATCCCCGCTCGTGTGCCTCTGCCCGAGTGTTGCTGCAGAAATCCCTCGGGTCGTGAGGTAACGAGAATAAATTTACTCTTTGCATTTCATCCGTGAATTTGTGGTTGTTCCTGCATCCTGCCTGTGCCAGCTCACACAGGGGCTCAGCTGCATACCAGGGCTAGCCCACAATAGTGTGGTAAACCCACGTTGTTCTGATGTCAATTTGCAGAATTACCCAATCTAGAAAAATATAGAAAGACACACCCATACTGGATTTGAAGTATAAGCGAGGCTTGCCTTCCCTTGTCTCGCCCCATGTTTTCGCCTATCTAATACAGCAGGCGCAGCCAGACTTAACCGGTATTTTTCGGTTAGAGCTAAATCTGGCTGGGCCGAGATGTTTTGTCTTCGGAAGTGCCAGGGCTTCGCTGGCGGACACCGCTCTCCCGGCCGCCTAGGGATGCTCGGCTGTTCTGACGGCTGCCAGCCGGCGGGCCGGGCTAGG